TTTTTGAATTTTTAATCGCCCCAACGCCCTACGAGATAAAGGCGAAAAATTGCCTAACTTGGCACCACTGCACGCCAGCCCCTGCTTTTGGAGTGAGGCTCATCGAGCTAGGAGGGAAGGGGGGGGGGGGGGAAAGGCGGAGGCTCGATGTGATTCAAGGGCCCCTCCGAAGGAGTTGTACTGTTTGTTTTCGTCATATAAAATTCTTGTTGTAAGTTCAAGAAGAAGAAAGAAGAGAATCAAGCTGCACATGTAAGAAAAAAGTGCCTACCATAAAAAATTATTAATAATTAATTGTTTTCTTCTAATTAAATTATTTTTAGTAAAAAACAAATAAAATGATTAACACTGAAATATTTGTGGATATTTTTATACCTACCTACTAAGAAAATTACGTTACAAACATGATGCTGGAAAATTTTGAATTTGAAATGAATGAAAAACAACGGAAATTCTTCAATGAAATTAACATAGATTTTTTTGGTTTCTGTTAGTTTATTTGATAAATTACGGTGTTTCAGACTTGGTTAATTTATGTAAAAGTGAAAAACTATACAACTTACTACTTTTGAGAAATTCGAAAAAAATCGAGGAAAAACGAAGACTTATTCGGCAGAAATTTTTTGATAATTGTAAAAACAATTGGGACTAATCTAGACTGGCAAATAACAAGTGACATAACAATAAAATCATCTATGAAAATTTTATAAGCGTTTATTAACTGCCTATAAAGGGAGAGGTCGCTTTAAGCTGTAACGCACATAAATGATACTGATCCGTTGTTTTTAGTGTTAAATTATCAAGTTAAGAGAGCAAATTGTAAGAAAATTATAGAAGTTGGGTGGATTTAACAATGACTTATGGTGAAATAAATAGACTTTTATAAATTGAATACAGTGAAATATCTCAAAACTCTTACTGCGGAACATTTTGATTGACTTGAATACCAAAATCTCAGTGTCAGACTGAAAATCCAAAACGGCTAAATTAGTGATTTAATAACCTAAAAATTAAAGATGATAAAATAATAGTAACGCATTGATTTAAAGCGACTTCAGCGCCACCTATCGCTATCGCTAATAGAAAATTTACAACACTACTTCACGGCATACCACAGGTTATCGTTCTAAATAAAAGAGGTCATTTATCCGGAATAAGTTTATTGTTATTCTAAATAAATATGGAGGAAATAAAAAATATGCGTCTTAAAAGTCAGGCTGATATATTATCTCAAGAAGAAGAAATAAAAGGTACGGAAAAATAATATCACAACAAACATCAACAACAATATAAACGAAAAATTAAAAAAAAAATTAAACAAAAACTGCTTGACTGCAGAAAAAACTCGCAGAACAAGAAATGGCCCTGGAAAAAATTGAGAGAAAACTGCGAAAGAAAAATTTGGTGTTTTTCGGAGTTGAAGAAAAAAGGGGTTCATACTTTGATCTGGTAGATACCGTTTTGAAAATAATAATAAATTATATGATAATAACTTTTGAAAAACAAAAATAGAGTCTGTTGGAAGAATAGGAAAAATAGGCGAGAAAGCAAGACCCATTATAGTATCTTTTACAACAATGGGTCTGAAAATTGAGGTTTTAAGTAACAAAAACGCCCTAAAGAACTCCTTTTTTATAGGATAAGAGTGACAAACGAGCGCACAGTCCACCTGATGGTAAGTGGTTGCTGCGGCCCATTGACATCTACATCTATCCTCTATTACAAATCAAAATGCAGATGCGTTGTCACCCGTGAGGACTAAGATGGAATGCCTCTGTTGAGTATCAAGCTCCATTTAATATTATTTAATATTAATTTGGGCATAATTACAACCCAAAAACCCATATAACTAAACTGACCATTTATTTTTTTAACTCAAAACGGGACATGGGTTTATTTATACTCTAAAAACTATAACTTTATACAATTAGTGTTCATTAATTAATGAACACTAATTGTAAAAAGGTAATTATTAAATGCAACACTTTTTTTTAAAATTATAAGTTACATTTATCAGTGGAACAAATTTGCTTTAATAAAGTTGGTGATGATTTTAAATAAGAATAAAATTCTGGGCAAGTTTTTTTATTGTTACCTTTGATAACAACATCGTCTTTAGAACTGGAACCGTAAGTGTTTTTTCAGACCTCCACAATTTATTAAAAATAGAAAAATACTCTTTCTACTGGAGCATTTGTACGAGGTAGACATAAAATATATTCGATTAAAAAAATTATGTTGAAGATTGTTGTTACGAAAGACTTTAAATACTTCCATCCTACCAGTTACGGGACAATTTTGCGGGTTAGGAACGAAGACACTGTAAACAAAACCAAAGTATCTGAAATACTACAAAGAATAGACTTACAAAAGTGGAGATGGACAGGACACATCCTTAGGAACCGTCAAAAAAAAAAGGAGCCAAATTGTCACTAATTGGTATCCAAGAGATGGCAAAAGAAGCAGAGGTGGGCAGCATAGAAGGTGGGAAGATGATTTAAAATATACGGCTGGACCTTACTGGCGACGATTAGCACTCGACCGGAAACAATGGAATAGTCTGGAGGAGGCCTTTGTCATTAAACATTCCAAAAATCAGTGACTTTATATAGTAAATATTTTGTTAAGCTAATAGTCTTGTTATGCTAAGTCTTGTTTTAATTAATTTAAATAATTAATAATAATAAATTAAATAAATGTAATTGTACTGATTAATTTATATAAGACGTAACATTAAAGACTTATTCATTAATTAGTTAACTTTTAAAATGTCGTAATGTGTTATAATAATTTAATAATGTCTATAATGATGGTCGTACTAATTGAATAAGGTTAATTTTAAAAAAGAAAATTTAATTGTAGTTTTTTTGAAATAAAAGGCTATATTATTTTGTTAACTGCCTATTTTCCAAGAAGTGTTCGAAATTCGAAATAAACGTAATTTAATGCAAAATATATACGCTATTAAAATTTGAAATCGATTAACCTCGCCAAAACATGAGATATTTATAAGCAAAAATGTTTTTTTTTTATTATACAGACAGCATAGAAGAAGAGAGAGAATGACTTTTTTTTTTCTGCCATAGAAAGAGTTTCAACCTCTTTATGAAAAAATAATTTTATTAAATTAATATACGTATATATAAAAACATTTTGGAAATGCATAGTTTTTTTTTTAGAAATGATCGCTAATGTAACCAAACAAAATTACTATGAAAATATTTTAAAAACTTAATATTTTTTTTTGGTTAAGTTTTTAAAGATCCAATTATTCTGAAAAGACTGTGAAGTACAAATGAAATTCCGTAGATTTTAACTCAAATTCCGTAGTTACGTAGATGATGAAAAAAATTCCGTAGATCTCCGGAAAAATCCTTAGAGTTGGCAACGATGTTTAGTCCGACTTTTTTATACGTTCATGGTTTCAACAGAATAGGCTGGTACCTATTTCCTAAACGGTGCATTCAAGACGACTATTTGAAATTAATTTTCTAATAATCAATGCCACAATATTGATGTTCATGATTTGAAATACGTAGATAATACCTTCAAGTGATTATGGTATGTTAATAATAAAGTGTCAATCATATTTAGATGATAAATAATCACGTTAATAATGTTTATGAATGAATAATAATGTTCTAAAATTAAATTACGTGGGTTCATGTTTTTGAAGTGAAAGCTTTTAGAATTGTAGTGATACATTGAGTTATATGTACTACGTACTAGAGAAGCCATTCCGAACATTGACTATGTTCAACTGAACTATAGTGCAATCCATACAAACTAAATATTGCGTAAATTGAAGATTTGTGAATTCCATAAAATAATTATTATTACATTTTATTTAGAAATATGTTTGTTCAGATTAAATTAAGATATTTTATATTAAATTCTTATATTTATTTTATATTAATATCTTATTTTATATCAAATTAAAGTCTTCGCGCATGCGCGACTACTACTCCCGCGCATGCGCGAAGACGTAGAGTAGGATACAATTTTTGTTTGGAATGGCTTCTCTAGTACGTAGTACATATGACTCAATATAGTGATATGAAACTCTATGAAACGATAAAACAACACTAAAAAGACACAAACTCAACATCTATAGGATTCAGTCTGCGAAAGAATGTGATAGAATTCAGTATAATGTGTTTCCTATTATCTCGGTCTGTTTGTGCAATGTTTTGAAGATGGTTAATTTAAATTAAAACGTTAAATAGTTAAAAAGATTAATGAAATAAATAAAATTAACCATATTGAATAAAATTATCATATCCAATCCATTCATAACAATCCACGATTTCATAAGTTACCTCTTTATATTAAATTAGTCGTGATTAGGCTATCGTCCATCGTCTATCTTACGTCACATCTAGAGTCAATCAATTTTTGTTCGATGAAATGACTTTACGTATAGAACGAAGTAGATGGCGCTATTACAGAAGCAATTTTACTCGAAAGAAAATATTCTTTTAATTTACTACACTGATTTAGACTCTACGTGTCTGAAAATAAGGGCTGTAAAATTTATTTGCTATATAATTAAACTTTTATATTTTTTTATTTCTATAGAATGAGAGCGACAAACGAGCGCACAGTCCATCTGATGGTAAGTGGATACTGTAGTTCATAGACATCTACATGTGATTCTCGATTAAGGATCAATATGCAGATGCGTTGTCATCCCTGACGACTAAGATGGAAAGCCAAGTATCCAGTAAAATGGGTCTCCGTTTCACTGGATACTTGACTACACTCACCGTACGAAATAGCATTAAGCTGCTATTGTACGCTGGTATTCTGTGAGACCGTCGTTCTTCCCTGGTGGAGCTGACCCATTCGTGCATTACAACTATGTATAATATAGCGGCAGCATGGCTGTACCACGTACGGTAGAGCCAATCTTATATTATATGTCGCACTTGTGGTTGAAAATTATATTAAAAAAATCATTTCTAGTGAAATATTTCTATTTTATATTTTTATTGTTTCAGACGACAGGAGTGGTTAAAAGCTGTCGGACGAGAAGATCTCCTTCCAAAACTTATTGATGATAAAACAAGGCAACAATACAGAATCTGTGAGGTCCACTTCGAGAAATCCTTTATTAAGTTTTCAAAAAAGAGAACTGTTAAATATTTATTTGACAATGCTTTACCAACACTTAACTTGCCGACATATGACGGTGCTTGTTCGAGTTCCAGCCTGTGTGAGAACGTATCTATACAAGAAAATCAGAACATTAAATTTATACCTACTACTGAGATATCATCAAGTCCAAATAATACTATTGATAAAATAATTAAATTGGAAGATCAATCATATTACAGCATTCAGATGGATGATATTCAAACTTGTGGAAGTAGATCGGCGCAAACGGAACTTCAGCTTTCAGCGGACTCTCCAAGAAAGAGGAAGCTATCACCTGAATTTCGGGAAGCGAAAAAAGATAAACAATATGATTTAGATAGTGTAACTGAAGACGACTTTTTTAAATTGTGTGATAAGTTTTTGACTAAAGGTATGACTCAAATTATTAAATGGCAAAAAGATTTGAGGGGTTATGACGAAAACCGGTATAGCCGCCATTTCAAATATTTCGCACTCAATCTTCATTACTCCGGTCCAGCAGCGTATAGATTTTTTACGAATACATTTTCTTTGCCTTCATTAGTCACCTTACAAAAGTTAGTTAAGCCAATAGGTACTAAGCTTGATGAACGTTTGCTCTGTGCATTAAAAATGAAGGTTGACAAGATGGGAACGCAAGAAAAAATTTGCAGTGTTTGTGTAGACTGCATGCCTTTGAAGGCTAATCTGTGTTATGACGTCAGAAACGATAGAATTATAGGATTCCATGAGATAAACGGGATTCAGAAAAAAGAACCAGCTAAATACGTTGTTGTTATGATGATTCGTGGTATTATACACGATTGGAAACAACCAATAGCTCACTCGTTTGTTTCTCAATGCAAAAAACATACAGAACTAAATGATTGGATTGACGAAATTATAACATCATTACTAAATATTGGTCTCGACATACGCGTCCTTATCTCAGATTTAGGTTCAGATTTCTTACGCATTTCAAAGTCGCGTTCCGTGATCAGGGATAAAACATATTTTGAAGTAGACGGACACAAAATTTATTACATGTTTGATGTTCCGCATCTTTTAAAATGCGTGAGAAATAAATTAAAAACATGTAATTTCATTTTTGACAATAAAGTAGCAAAATGGTCACATATTAGGGAACTATATAATGAAGATAAAAAGCGACAAATTAGATTAGCACCAAAACTAACTGATACTCACATAAAACCCTATAATTTTCAAAAAATGCCTGTGAAAGTAGTCAAAGAGGTCTTGAGTCGTACTGTAGCATCAGCTATTAATAGCTACGTAGACTTAAATCTTATCGAGGTTGCTGCAAGAGATACCGCAGATTTTCTGAACAAAATTAGTAATTTGTTTGATTTATTTAACTCAAGTACATTGCAATCTCCTAATAAATATAAAAGAGCTTTTCGTGGCGATAATTATCAAATTGAGTTTTTAGAGGAAATGCTAACATTTTTCAAGAACTTAAAATTAATAAGAAGTGATGGACAAAAAGACGTTACAAATATCATGAATTTCATTCACGGATTTCAAGTATCTATCAAATCTTTATTAAAACTTCATGAAGATTTAAAATCACAAAAAAATAAATTTATACTAACAAGACGTCTCAATCGAGATTGTCTCGAAAATTTCTTTGGCAAAGTCAGACAGGCGGGTGGTAACCGCAAGAAACCAACGTGTCGACAAGTTAGTAATGTCTTCAATAAAGAGTTTATAATGAATATCTTAAAGAAACCTCAAAGTATTAATTGTGATCAAGATTTCGAATTGTTACTTATGAAATCAGAAGCCTGTTGTATTTTTAATGCACCATTACAAGTGTCGCAAGCGGACGATGTTATTGCCCCTGGGTTAATGATAGGAACAAATGATTATCGATTTGATTTACCAGAAAAAAATGTTATAGTCTATGTATCAGTATATTTGTACAGAAAATGTCAAGAACACCATAAATGTGAGAAAATAAAAGTGTACGGTAATAAATCTGAACAACCTATAAATATGACAAAAGATTCCTTTTTCAACCATTACAAGGCTTTTATTGAAGATAGTATACGATCGAGTTTTTTAACGATACCTCCTGCCAATTTTATCGCATTTGTTGATTTGCTTGAACGAAAATTTTGCGAATATTTTAATCTTGAAACAAACATTGTTAATATTGGTAATGATATATTTAAACGTGTGCAAGATTGCACATTTGATATGCCATGTGAGTGTTTTCCATTAGATTATTTAAAAAAACTTTATATTAGATTTAGAATTTACAATACAATTAAAAGGCACAACAAATTATTGAAAATTAAAAATTATAACAACAAAATATTTAGAGTAAGTGGTTTGTAAAATAAAATTCTATCATAGGAACATAATTGAAAGCTGATAAACGTTTTGTTCGGTTGGTAATTATGATGACCAGATCACAACTGTTCAGTGATGTCTCAGTGATCGCGAGGGTGAAAACTCGCAGCGATCACCGAATGGTTAGAGGCACACTGAACCTAAACGTTAAGTTGGAGAGGTCACGTCTAATGAAGTCAACGCTCTGTCTCCCTCGTGCTTCAATCCAAAGCCCCGAAAACTTTCAGCTCGAATTACAAAATCGTTTTCAGTGCTAAAATCGTGCAATGTAGTGGACGATATGAATGAAAGGCTTGTGGAAACTGTCTATGCGGACGGAGCTAAGTTCTGCAAGACCCGTCGTAGAAGAACATAAACACTCTCCGATCACACTATTAATCTCATGGCTTTTAGACGGAAAATGAAGATGCAGTTTGCAGCTATAGGCAACTGAACAGATAGATCTCCAAATGCATGCGGTGGGACTTACGCAACTTTAATTCAAGAAACGATCAAGCGTAACCAGGGGTCCAAAGTCTTTGCCAGAGATCTGTCTGCCAGAAAGAGCCAACTGTTGAAGCTGAAGACTGAATGTTGCAGCATCGTTTCCGGGACACCTGAGATTTTGAGTGAGATTGAGAGGTTTTATGGGCAGCCGTACACGTCATCGTTGGAGCCACACGCAAGTGTGAGTAACGATCCAAGAGCAAGTCTTAACCAACAATATTCCGATGATATCCCGGACGTCAGCCTGAGCGAGATTCCAGCACCTTAAAACAACAGGGCCCCAGGCGAGGATGAAATTACAGCGGAGCTTCTGAAAGCGTGTGGAAAACCTTGAAGTCCTTCAGAAGCTTTTTAATTCCGCCCTCCATGGTGGCTATACTGCGGAGGCTTGGAGCAGAAGTGCGGCGGTCCTGTTCTTCACGAAAGACGACAACGCTTTTTTGAAGAACTACAGACCGATTACCCTTCTGAGCCGCGTCTACGTTCGATTTTCGAGAGTCATTATTATATCTATATCGTCTCGCATGCAGACTCACTCCCTCCCGAACAAGTCGGTTTCCGAAAAGGCTTTAGCACCATAGACCATATACATACCCTTAGGCAAATTGTACAGAAGACCGAAGAGTACAATCTGCCTCTTTGTCTTGCGTATGTGGAATATGAGAAAGCCTTTGATTCTAACGAAATTTGGGTGTTCCCCGAAACTCTTCACCGTGGTATTGGAACACGTTTTCATGCTAATGGACTGGAAACGATACGGTATTTTTTTTAATAGGATAGGGTGACAAACGAGCACACAGTCCTTATGGTAAGTGGTTGCTGTGGCCCATAGACATCTACATTTATCCTCGTTTGCGAATCAAAATACAGATGCATTGTCACCCGTGAGGACTAAGATGGAATGCCTCTTTTCCAGTAAAAAGGGTCTCCGGTTCTCTACACTCACCATACGAAACACAGCAGCTTACTATTTTACGCTGGTATTCTGTGAGAGCGTGGTCCTTCCCGGTCGAGCCGACCCATTCGTGCTACAACTATACTACTAATATAGCTGCAGCATGGCTCTACCACGTATATAACGTTAATGACGAGTACATCACTCTCCTTCGACTTGCCGACGATATAGTCGCTGGAAGACCTAAGCACTATGCTCAATAACCTCAATAGTGTCTCTCAACGTATAGGTCTTAGATAAACATGGACAAAACAAAAGTCATATGTAACGTCCATGTCACACCTATGCCGGTAGAGTAACCGACATAGCCCAACGGATAAGCTGAAGTGGCAATAGGCCGGCCATATGAACCGACAACCGATGGGGAAGAAAGGTTCTCGAGTGGCAGCTTCGTACCGGCAAGCGAAGTGTAGGGCATCCCCCCACTAGAAGGAGTGACGACTTGGTAAGACATGCAGGAAGTATGGATGTAGGTGGCTCGGGACCGTCTTTTGTGGTATTCCTTGGGAGAGGCCTATGTTCAGCAGTGGACTTGTGAAAGGCTGAAGAAACGTTTTGATTATTTAATTTTATCGTTCTGTGTCAACCGCAAAATTTTTCCCTTCCAAGTTACGATCAGCTCTTAATTGTGCCTCGGGTCGGGGCTTCCCCTTAGTTTAGTAGTAAGAGGTTGCTTTCACAAATATTCGGCGTTATAGAGCTGGTGTGTTATTTAACACGAATTTGAACTTCATTATCTTCTACCTCGCTGGTTGCAGCGTATAATATTTGTTTGATTCTAAATAGTCGTACACGACGAGGTGAGAGTTTTATAAAAAACCTTTAGAGAATTTGCTCAGACTATAATTTGTTACGAAGGTAGGTCTTAGTCCAGTTTGCGTTTTATGTAAGACACGTAAGACGTTTTCTATGAAAAATCTTTGGGGGTTGGCTCAGATTATTATTAAATATTAGGATTAGAAAAGGGTTTCTGCCTAAAGTTGTGCAGCCTGCGTATAATGATAATTTGTTTTGATAATTTTTTTGCTTTTTATGTTTTTGTATCCATTTAATTACTTAAATATTTTCCATGAAACTTTTAAATACGTTGTTATTTGATTTATGTAAAATGGAGGGAATGGCACTCATAACATCCATAGGTGCACGGAGTTTTCCGTGATTATATTATGTTGTGTTTAATGCGAATATTACTTAAATACTTATACTTCTCCCTGTTTACAATTTCAGAAAAGTTTCCAAATGATTTCGATATGACTATCCCTAAACAAGAGTACGCTGAAATTTCGGTATGCCATCATAATAGTAAATAGCTTTACGTTAAAGTTAGCAGCACCATAAAGTTTAGGGTTGAGGTACAGCACAAAATTTCGGCACCTTCATTAGACCTTGACTGTGGTAATATAATACGTATCAGTTTATTTATTCTGTGATAGAGGTTGCATCTGTGAGCGTAATCACACTCGTGCACTAAATTTTGTCCCGCGCAATCCAATCAGCGTCGGTCAACAATCAGAAGGATGGACCGCGTGCAGGTGAAGTTGGTGTTCAGGGGGAAAAAGGTGAAATAATTTTCTTAAACTTAATTCTAATTTTACAAACACATCCCTCGCACACATCATTTCCTTGTTCTGTATGTAAAAATACCTCGCTTCGTTGAGCCGTTTCCACTAGAGCTGTGTTGAGCGAGGCTAGGTAAATGAAGTGATTCTATAGGTTCTTAACATTCCCTCTTCGCACATTTCTGGTGGAAACGCAGCCTTAAGAGGCGAGCCTTAGGAGAGCTGTACTGAAATTGTGATGTTGTTCCAATAGCTTTATTAACCATCTTTATTGAGAATTTTTGTTCTTTTGTGAAGGTTTATTATCTGTCAAATTTCTCGGACCGTCGATTCTTCACATCAAAATGTGAAGCACCGACGGTCCGAATATCGGATCCATTACATTGGATCGGTCGAAATATCGGATCCATTAGGTACAACCTTTCAAATGGAAAATTAATTTAAACACGCAAAAGTTTTAATTGAAGATTTCTATAAATTTTTGTTTATTTATGTAAACAGGTACAATTTAAATATATTTTAAAATTTCAACAAATTTCGATCCTTTTAAAATAGTATACTTACTAATAATAGTACCTTTTATTAATTTACCTATTTTTGCGATTTAGTAATATTTCTGTTGTTTCTAGACTTGTAGTAAAACTTGTCGATTTTATTACAAAACGTGGCTTATTGATAGTCTCCGGCTTAGCTATGGCTTAAGAGATTTTTTTTAAATAAATTAAATTTGAGACTATAGATAAACTATCTTTTGTAATAATGCGAAGTGCCTGATATGTTTTATTTTATATGTGAATATTATATTGATAGAAAAAGGGGACCAGCGGGGTTAGCCAAGATGTCATTCTACAATCGCTGAAAGTTTGTTAAAAAGAAGTTCCGTTATAACGCTATAGAAAACTATAAAAATAAATGAAATCAACGCTAAGCCAGACGACTTAACATTTAGATATGTCATCTCCATTCAATTTTATAGTTTTCCAATAACATTAACAATCGTAGGACACACCTTGACTAACCTCGCAGTTAATCTTCGTTAGTAATGTTATGTATTCTGTGATGCACAGACTATACAAAGACTAACGTTGTTACAAATCAAAGTTATTTGCCAATAAAATGTTAATTTTTAGTCATGATTTATTTATTTTAGACCCCAATAACATACCTTTTAAAGAGCTCTTAATATAGCATAAATGTTGAGTGTACTAAGTTTTCTTATATTTTCTTTTATAATATAAGGGTGACAAACGAGCACACAGTCCACCTAATGGTAAGTGGATGCTGTGGCCCATAGACATCTACATCTATCCTAGATTAACAATCAAAATGCAGATGCTTTGTTACCCTGAGTTAGTCTTTAGACTTCTCAGACATTGAGATGGAATGCCTTGTTTCACGTAAAAAGGGTCTCCGGATCGGTCGAAACTCACCATAGGAAACAGCATTCAGCTGCTATTTCATGCTGGTATTCTGTGAGCACGTGGACCTTCTCCGGTCAGGCCGACCCATTCGTCTTACTACCATAATATAGCTGCGGTGTGGCTCTACCACTTATTTTTCAGTAACCTTATGTTAACCAAGTCTTTCCTGCTATTTGGACAAAATTAAGTAATATTAAAATGAATCTAATACGAATAAAACGTTTATAAAATAAATCAAATAATATTTAACGAAATCGAGTGTTTGTGTGTGTCTGCTAGTTCTATTGATCATGTTCGATCATTCATTAGCCTATCAAAGTTCACTCTTCAACATAGGTCTAACCTAAAGATAACCTAAAGGGAGAGTATACCCCCCGTATACATATGTGATAGTTGCCGCGCTTGGTAAGCCCGCCTTACAACAATAGTCTTTTATTATTTGAGCTGTACTCAGGAAGATACCGCTGCCCATCTCCTGTTTCAGTTTTCCTCTGTCGGATCTTACAACACTGGATGATATGGGATAGTGAATTTTCCTACGCTGCCACTACAGGGCAAGTATTA